CAGTGTTGTTTATAACGCCCAACTCAACAATTACTGTCTACATTTTATGGTTATCCTAGTGACACAAGCATAAATAGGTAAACTGGGCACCTTCCTTAGTCTTTGCCATAACAATCATAATTGGATGGTATAAAAAGATGTACATGTGCACTTCAATTGTGATCTGCCTAGCAGAAATAATGCAGGAAACAGTGGTGCTAGTTAAAATTGCTCTGTAACAAACCTTAGACAGGGTGAATGGGACAGAATCCATCATTCAGGAAGAATTGCCACAACTCCAAAAGATCAAATTGTGTTAGGACGTAGGTTAATGATAAAAAATATGTACTTCCACCGCTTTATTACTGGTTGGCTTCTGAGCTCCAAAAAAATAAAAGGAACTATGAAAGGGGACACATCAGTATTGAAATATGTTATTTTAAAATAGTACCGTAACCTTTTTTGTATCTTGTATTCCAATAAAATTGGTATTTCCCCTGAATGTTAATAGAACAAAAAGATTGCTATGTATTAAGTTATCACAATAATATTTGCCAAAGGGATATCAAATGGGAGAGCTGGTTTGACCTTTTGGTTTACCTATAGTTACCCCAGATGTAGCTTAACCCTTAAAAAAATGTATAGGATGTTGATATCAGAAATACGCACTTCCGGTGCTATTCATCTGATTTGCTCTAAATTTAAGGGATATATGATAATGCCATATGAAAAAAAAACAAATATGTGTGCAATATATTCTCAAAGTCTTTTCGAAATGAGGGGACTTCCTTTGATATTGCAACTTTATCTCATATATTATACTAATTGCAATCATTGCATGTGAATTTCAAACTATACGAAGAACTAAAAGTCCAGCAAATAATATCTCCGTTGTCGTTGTAAAAAAAGAGAAAGGGGAGAGAAGAATCAGATGACAAACTGACAAAAATACACCATATTTAGATTCCCAGTCCTGCAAAGATGTGATAGAACCACCTCAAAAGGAAAAAGATTTTAAAAGGAGCCCCATCAATATTATACATTAAGTGATACAAAATCAATAATAAAACAGAAAAGTAGAGTGTAATATACATAAAAAGTAATGAACAAACGAGAAATGAAGGCAGTTCAACTAGCAAAACCATCTAATCTAAACAAATTCTACGAAATGCATTTCGAATCATAAAGAAAATGTAATTATTTTTGCATACATATTTATGTTCACAGAGAATAGTTAGAGTTCACCTGTACATAGTTATTCACAGCAACATAGAGTCATCAAATAGCAGAACAACAGATAAGTGAATTGCCCCCTCAGGGAATTTAGTGTCTAAAGATATAGTTGGTATCCCATTCCATATTTGGTCCCTGTGGAAACCTTGTTTGTAACGTAAGTATCCCAAAAAATAATTTTTGAGTAGGTATTTCTCTAAGGGTATGGAGAAGATGCCTTACAGGACAAAATAGACCAGGTTGGAAAAATGGACAGGTCCCCTCTGCTACAATATAGAAAGAAAGATGATTTAGGACAATCAAATAAACAGATTCCTTTCATTTTTTATTTTTCTAATAACATTGGTGCCATTAAAAAAATCATTAATAGAAATTGGCACATCTTACAGCATGAGGAGGATATCAAACAATATATAGGAAATAAACCTAAGTTTATATTCAGGGGTGCAAAAAATCTAAAACAAATGTTAACATCAAGTTTTATTAAAACAGAGGCCCCTAGGAATTTTTTAAGTAATTGGACACAAGAACAAAAGGGCTTTTTTTATTGTGGACCTTGTCGGGCTTGTTGCAATAATCTAAGATTGAATAAGAAAGTGGAAAATTTCCACTCTTCAGTTACCAAAAAGGAATACCATATTAAATCTCTAATTACATGCCACTCTACTTATGTCATTTATCTCCTACAATGCAGCTGCGGATATCAATACGTGGGGAAAACGTCCCGCCAGCTCAAAATAAGAATTAGCGAACATCTTAGAAACATTCAGAAAGGTTTTCTGAATCTTAGTGTATCAAGGCATTTTTTACAACACCATGGTTCGGATTCTAAGTTTCTAAGCTTTTTTGCTATTGAAAAAGTGGTAGGAAACTGGAGAGGGGGAGATATATCTAGAGCTCTTGGCCTGAAAGAATCCAAATGGATCTTCGAACTACGCTCTCTAACTCCAAGAGGATTAAATATTGATTTTGAAATTAATAAATTGTTATAATTGAAAAAATAATAAAATCTCTTTGGTAGATTATGGTTTAATATATTTTCCTAGTATATGGAAGAGCTTTTTGTTCTTGTGATTATAATTAGGTATTTGCTGGACAACTGTTTTTGATGCACTTTATACTTTTAATAGCACTTTATACACATATTTTGCACCTTATTTATGAAGCACAGTGAGTACATGCACTTTAATTTTATATATTTTATGTATCCTTTTTCTTTGTATTATATATAACCAATATTTTTATTTCTTATTTTTCATTTTAAAATAATTGCTGTTCGACATGTATATATACTTTTGAACAATTGGACTGATTGCCCATTACCAAGATGGCTACTTTAACTTCAAATTGTATGAACACTATCACAATATGGAAAGAGAGAAGGAACTCCGCTGATTTATTTTCAGCGAAACCGGAAATGACGCGACGGACGGACTCCATTATCATACACGCAACCGGAAGTGACATAACGAAAAACCGGAACCGATTTATAGTATCCCCAATCTCCGAGTCACCCACAATTTGGATATATTGTGTGGGTAGACTATGATGGGGAGGAAGATTTTGATTATACGATCTAGTATTGATGTTAATTTATGATATTTATTGTGATATGTATTATTTTGGTAATTCTTGTTTCCGAACCGGATGTGTAGCCGTATTGGAGGTGGCAGAACACATCCGGTTCGGACCATATAAGGTAATGATATTCTAATTAGCTTTTCATGTGTAGGGAATTATGTAATTAAATCTGTAATACTACTCCCTATATAAACAACAGTATATCCATTGTAGCTTTGAATAGCACCTGAGGAAGA